CACTTGTAGGCCAGAGAAGACTGGTTCTTGTACTCTAACCTTGACATAACACTCTTGTAGGCCAGAGAAGACTGGTTCTTGTACTCTAACCTTGACATAACACTTGTAGGCCAGAGAAGACTGGTTCTTGTACTCTAACCTTGACATAACACTTGTAGGCCAGAGAAGACTGGTTCTTGTACTCTAACCTTGACATAACACTTGTACTCTAACCTTGACATAGCACTTGTAGGCCAGAGAAGATTGGTTCTTGTACTCTAACCTTGACATAGCACTCTTGTAGGCCAGAGAAGATTGGTTCTTGTACTCTAACCTTGACATAACACTTGTAGGCCAGAGAAGACTGGTTCTTGTACTCTAACCTTGACATAACACTTGTAGGCCAGAGAAGATTGGTTCTTGTACTCTAACCTTGACATAACACTTGTAGGCCAGAGAAGATTGGTTCTTGTACTCTAACCTTGACATAACACTTGTAGGCCAGAGAAGATTGGTTCTTGTACTCTAACCTTGACATAACACTCTTGTAGGCCAGAGAAGATTGGTTCTTTTACTCTAACCTTGACATAACACTTGTAGGCCAGAGAAGACTTGTTCTTGTACTCTAACCTTGACATAACACTTGTAGGCCAGAGAAGATTGGTTCTTGTACTCTAACCTTGACATAACACTTTGTAGGCCAGAGAAGATTGGACGTTCTTGTACTCTAACCTTGACATAACACTTGTAGGCCAGAGAAGATTGGTTCTTGTACTCTAACCTTGACATAACACTCTTGTAGGCCAGAGAAGATTGGTTCTTGTACTCTAACCTTGACATAACACTTGTAGGCCAGAGAAGACTTGTTCTTGTACTCTAACCTTGACATAACACTCTTGTAGGCCAGAGAAGATTGGTTCTTGTACTCTAACCTTGACATAACACTCTTGTAGGCCAGAGAAGATTGGTTCTTGTACTCTAACCTTGACATAACCTTGAGGCCAGAGAAGACTTGGTTCATAACCTTGACATAACACTTGTAGGCCAGAGAAGAACCTTGACATTCTTGTAGGCCAGAGAAGATTGGTTCTTGTACTCTAACCTTGACATAACACTCTTGTAGGCCAGAGAAGACTTGGTTCTTGTAACACTCTAACCTTGACATAACACTCTTGTAGGAGAGAGTAGATTTGTTTTTTTACTCTAACCTTGACATAACACTCTTGTAGGCCAGAGAAGATTGGTTCTTGTACTCTAACCTTGACATAACACTTGTAGGCCAGAGAAGACTGGTTCTTGTACTCTAACCTTGACATAACACTTGTAGGCCAGAGAAGATTGGTTCTTGTACTCTAACCTTGACATAACACTCTTGTAGGCCAGAGAAGATTGGTTCTTGTAACACTCCAGAGAAGATAACCTTGACATAACACTTGACATAACACTGTAGGCCAGAGAAGACTTGGTTCTTGTACTCTAACCTTGACATAACACTTGTAGGCCAGAGAAGATTGGTTCTTGTACTCTAACCTTGACATAACACTCTTGTAGGCCAGAGAAGACTGGTTCTTGTACTCTAACCTTGACATAACACTCTTGTAGGCCAGAGAAGATTGGTTCTTGTACTCTAACCTTGACATAACACTCTTGTAGGCCAGAGAAGATTGGTTCTTGTACTCTAACCTTGACATAACACTCTTGTAGGCCAGAGAAGATTGGTTCTTGTACTCTAACCTTGACATAACACTCTTGTAGGCCAGAGAAGATTGGTTCTTGTACTCTAACCTTGACATAACACTCTTGTAGGCCAGAGAAGACTGGTTCTTGTACTCTAACCTTGACATAACACTCTTGTAGGCCAGAGAAGACTGGTTCTTGTACTCTAACCTTGACATAACACTCTTGTAGGCCAGAGAAGATTGGTTCTTGTACTCTAACCTTGACATAACACTTGTAGGCCAGAGAAGATTGGTTCTTGTACTCTAACCTTGACATAACACTCTTGTAGGCCAGAGAAGACTGGTTCTTGTACTCTAACCTTGACATAACACTTGTAGGCCAGAGAAGACTGGTTCTTGTACTCTAACCTTGACATAACCTTGACATAACACTTAACACTGTAGGCCAGAGAAGATTGGTTCTTGTACTCTAACCTTGACATAACTTTGGTTCTTGTACTCTAACCTTGACATAACACTTGTAGGCCAGAGAAGACTGGTTCTTGTACTCTAACCTTGACATAACACTCTTGTAGGCCAGAGAAGACTTGTTCTTGTACTCTAACCTTGACATAACACTCTTGTAGGCCAGAGAAGACTGGTTCTTGTACTCTAACCTTGACATAACACTCTTGTAGGCCAGAGAAGATTGGTTCTTGTACTCTAACCTTGACATAACACTCTTGTAGGCCAGAGAAGATTGGTTCTTGTACTCTAACCTTGACATAACACTCTTGTAGGCCAGAGAAGACTGGTTCTTGTACTCTAACCTTGACATAACACTCTTGTAGGCCAGAGAAGATTGGTTCTTGTACTCTAACCACTGGTTCTTGTAAATTTACCTTGAATAACATTATAATATTCTGAAAAGAATTCTATCAACTGATTTTCTCTGTCACACATTCAAAAACATAAATGATACACCCCACCTACAATAAAGGACTCAGAAAATACCGCTCACAACAGTAAAATTTGATTACGTTGACTAGAATTGTCTCCCACATTGTAGCTCTGTAGTTGTAATTTATCTCTGACCACCATCGAGGAATCAAAAAGTTCAGCAGTCCTAAGATTACAGTGAAATAGAAATGGTCACATGACAAATGCTAAGGAAAAAGTCTATTTAAGAAGGTCCCTATTACTCATGTTTTATATTAGCTTTCTAATAATGCCTTTTTTGTGGACATATAAGATACTATTACAAGCTTTACAAATCACCTGTAGAACTCCACTACAGGGAAGCCTAGACACAAGCTGTGAAATAACATTGTAATTGTGTTTATTTTTTTCATTTTCAGATCTACAGTATCTTTAAGTACAACACCACACCTGTAGGAATTAAATCGTCTGAGGGGTCCTCACAACTGTTGGCCTGATCTATACTCACACTGTAACAGGACTAAGTCGTTTTCTCTGTCAGTGTCAACACTGTCAACGTGCACCATATATTGATTCTAAAGAGCTAACAGACTTTTTATTTGTTTTTGTTCTGAATATCAATGTCAAGACTATTTATATCACAGACAGAAAAGAGCAGCCATCCTGATGGCTTCCTTTTCCTAAGATAAATATCCTACAAATATCCCTATATTTTAGGAAGGACACCAGAGTGACCCCATACCTTGTCATGATCAGGACCAGCTGGGTATCAAAGTTCTACCGACAGTCCAAAATCTCCTATAAGATGTGATTAGTGTTTTTTTTTTTTAAAAGAACAATTTCTGTATCCACTGACCATCCTACATGTAAGTTCTGTATCCACTGACCATCCTACATGTAAGTTCTGTATCCACTGACCATCCTACATGTAAGTTAAGATCTCAGGATATATCCTAACCTATCATCTGAATCAGTGTCTCAGCTCCTCGCCTGACTTAACCCCACTCGGGACATTGCATGTCACATTTGTGTTTGCAAGAAATCATTGACAATTAAATGCAGACTCAATGTTATGCTCAACTTCCTGGAAAATTGCACAAAATTTATTGACTTTCTCCTTCGTACTGGTGGAGTAGGTAACCCACCACTGTGTGCAGGCAAGTTTACAGATAAAATGTTGACTTTTTCAGTAATCTCTGAAATATGACTCACACTACCTCTACTGATAATCTCAGTGCACTGAATAACACTGTGCGAGGATGGCAAACAACTTTAACATACAAACGTATTTCCTTTATACTTCCTCATAAACCTCAAATTTTCTACAAATGATGTTATACAAATTGTATATCGTAATTATAAGGTTGTGGAAATTTCTGAAAAACGGACCTAAAATAGACCAAATGACCTTGAACAAACAGACAGAGCCATCTGCAACAAACATATCTAAACATTGCATGTTGGGTAATCTAAAATTCAAATCCCACTGGGTTTTGATCTGATCATATTACGTTGTTTTCTTTTGATCATCAAACACCACCCGATTTAGAACACATCATCTGTCATACCACAGTCAAGATGTATTTTAGACGACAATCTCCTGTGGTTGATATTCCATCTGGGACAGATGCCTGGGGCTAATAAAATCCAACTGCAATCTGATTGGATGCTTGTAGAGTGAGGTTTGCTGATAGAACTAAAAATCCTGTAGCGAACATGCAATTTCATAACAAAGTTTTTATCAGGATATATGAAAATGAAGTTTTCTATATTTGTAGTAAAATACCTTAATTCCAAATTCCAGTTTGTTTTCTCATTAAGTGAAGGTTGATGATACCAAGCATTTCCTATTAAGGCTGAACAAAGTTAACTTGAGACAGTGACAGAATCTGTTATGTAGCCTACGAATCTGGCTACTAACACGAAAACAGGAAATAGTAGATGTGGATGTATAATTAATCATTAAAACCATCGGACAAATTGACAAAAGTTACAAAGTGTCATTACACATAAAACAGAATATGAAGCTATACATAGGTCAGCTGACAAGACACTCTGGCATTTCAAAGTACTATACGACCATCCAAGTATCAAATGCCTCCTACACTTAATGATGGAGAATAATGTTTTCTGATGTCCTGATACCACAGTATGTAACAGAACAATTGGATTACAATGACTTTCTGTGAAAAGAACAATACGTAAAACCTCTTGAGAGTGATAAACACATGTAGAATATGGGTTTTTATTGTTGGATGGAGGAAAGTGGATCAAAGTGAGAACAGACTGTTGTACCCCTGGGATAAGTTCCACTGAGACAAGTAATGGTTGCCAGGTATTGTCATGTTGCCAACCGTAAAATCAGTTTTACTGGCGACTAATGACCATAACTACAATAAACGACTAATCAATACTAAGCTTTACCTTGTCTGGATGAAATGTAGCCCCCAATTGGATAAGCTCCTGCACCTTATCCACCTGACCATTGCTAGCAGCCAATCGGAGCTTGTCTACCAGTGACACACTGGGGTAGGCAGAATGGGTGGCTGGGCCAGACATATCTGTAACATAAAATAGAATAAAGATCAGATCTCAGATATAGAGATAACAATGTTAGAAATGTGTAAACATTGAAGGTCAAACCTGCTACAAGTCCAAGTTCAGTAATAAGCCAATATTGTATTATCTCTGCATAACACAAAGCACTTGCTGTGTAATTACAAAGTTAAGGCAAAAAAGATCCCCAGCTACAACAGAAATGACAGAACATACAGGATCACTTCATGTTAAAAAACAAAAGAATTACACCATGTTTGATGACCTATTTATGGTGTTTTAAACATTTTAACGAGGATCACCTCATGTTTAAAATAAAACAAAAGAATTACACCATGTTTGATGACCTATTTATGGTGTTTTAAACATTTTAACGAGGATCACCTCATGTTTAAAATAAAACAAAAGAATTACACCATGTTTGATGGCCTATTTATGGTGTTTTAAACATTTTAACGAGGATCACCTCATGTTTAAAATAAAACAAAAGAATTACACCATGTTTGATGACCTATTTATGGTGTTTTAAACATTTTAACGGGGAACACCTCATGTTTAAAAAAAAAAACAAAAGAAATTACACCATGTTTGATGGCCTATTTATGGCATTTTAAACATTTTAACGGGGAACACCTCATGTTTAAAAAAAAAAACAAAAGAAATTACACCATGTTTGATGGCCTATTTATGGCGTTTTAAACATTTTAACGAGGATCACCTCATGTTTAAAAACAACAAAAGAATTACACCATGTTTGATGGCCTATTTATGGTGTTTTAGGTACCAATAATTTGATTATGTTAATTTTCTGAATAACGTATTCGGTAAATTTAAATCCCCATACAAACTTTGATATCCTGTACAGCCAGGAGGAGAATAAAACTAGTACAAATGATGAAAACCACAAAATCGAAAGCTACAGACAAATTTTATAATCTGATATGTAAAAATCTTCAGGGCAAAATGTAGACCAATTTGGTTAGAAATCTATATAAAGACCAGACAGAAATTAGAGAGGTGAACCAAGAACCTGAGGGATGATACATACAGGTATTTGTGATACCTTCAAAATAGCACCTGCAAGTCATCAGATCATATCATACTGAATTAAAAAAAACTTCTCACATATTTAATTGTACATTATCTTCACTCATTACTTATCTGTGTTCTGAGATAGAAATACACTATACAGACAATCTCTTAGTTGACAAAGATAACTGTTACACATTGGGTGGTCCATACTGTATTTCGTAGTAGATGCACATGAATTATGTTCAGATTACTCAACTGAATAAAAACAGGTTTTATTACAATAATCTGCTTTTAATAATACTTAATGGAATCTTGTCTTTTTGTCCAAAAATAATTTTTAGAAATTTAATCTTATATTTTGACATATAAATACGCCAGGATATAAGAATTCACACCTGCTTAAAGAAGAACAATATAACCTGGTTTTCAGAAATGACTGTATTTAGATAGAGATAATAAACACTACACAATACTGTTTCGTAAACCTAATTCCATGTAACCTGATCAGCGTTCTCTTTGACCTTAACTTCCGCAAGGAGAGTGAATTACATGAACGGGCGGCGACAAAAGACACTGCTTTCTGAAGGAATGCATAAGTCCAGGACCTGGCTATATGATACAGAAGTTAGGGGCGACGTAACTCACAACCATGCAGCTCTGCAGCATTGTACCTATCCCAGTATCATTACACCCATCCATTCATCATCCCAGACAATAGGCCCATTAAGTTTCAGCTTTCATAATATTCAGCTCAACGGTATAAAAAATGCTTGATGAAAAATCTGCTTCATTTTTTTCTATGAAATTCTTCTAAAAAAATTCCAGTATGAAGTGCATTATATTGCTTCAAAACTTCTGACTTCATTTGTTTTGTACAGAAGTTTCAACGGAGAAAAAAAGGAAATTTTAAAATGTTCATTTTTCAATTTAGAGAAAAATAACATTTTTCATTTTTCAATCCCTTAGAAATATCTGTGTTTATCTCTGATGAATGAGTAAAAACATTTGATTCAGGTGCAAATCTTAATCTCACAAAAAACTTCATCAAACAGATTATATATATCAGGTATGGATTTAAACCTCACCAAACAGAACACTACAAAGAGTCCTCTGTACCTGGTCACAACCCTTTGTAAACACAACCAGGTAATTAATTTATTTCACTCAACAGGTTAAAACATTTTCAGAGCTAATATCATTTGTTAATAAGTATGTGCACTGCACCAGTAGACACAAGCTAACAACAGTAGAATTTTTTGTAATATATTGGCCATGTTTAAAACCATTAGAATATTTTTTCATAAAGAACTTAAAGCAGATGACAAAAGAACAATTTCAGCTGCGGTTTATGTAAATACAACTGTTGCAGCCAGCCAAAAGTACCACCAGGTGTCACTGTTCATTTCTCTACCTGTTACTCTGTCAAGTTTCAAGGACGTCACCCTCACAAGGACAAAGGTTCACCAATAGTATAGGGCCTATCCTTTCCTTTATAGTAGATCTTGTCCTATTTTACAGATGATATTTATATTGTAAGTTTGGCAGAAACATAGATCCTGGAAATTCTGTTACATTTCTTCATTTTCTTTACCGCCATCAATGCTGGTTGGTTCTGGTGATTTAAGATTTTCAGTATTCAGATTTCCAGAAGCAAAACCAAGGTAATTCCTAGAAAAACTTGACGTAATCTAAATATGTCTTGCAATGCTGCAGCAGGACAAGTACTCTTAAAAAGATTCCTATTGCATTCATGACCCTATGAAAACAATATTCCTTTTCACAGTGTTAGTACAGGAATTTGCCACCTAAATGTGAAACATTTCACTTATTTTGCCTGTATATAAATAGCTAATTGAACTATAAGGGAATCCTACATTAATTCTATATACAGAAATGAGTTTTTAAATTTATTGAGTTAATGTGGCATAAAATTTGGTATACTAGGTTGATGGCCTCAACTTGTATTTAAATATAAAAGTGATACCTGTACTGCATTCTAATTACTTAAAGGCTATCAATGTAGTTATACACTATAACTGGTAAAAAAATATCTTTAAAATATAAGCAACTCACAATACTAAATAACTCACGTGATTTCTGAAAAAGTAATTAAACTACATTGAAATTTTTTTCAAATATCAGAGTTGTCAACGCAAATCCTAAATCATGTGTATCTTTCCTGTATTTTATATGATTGTTTGGAGCGAGTGTCTATATTTCACGAAATGCACAAGCTATTTTATTCCTATTAGTTAATGTTAGGATGTACGCAATGACAGTTTTTTACATACATTATATGATTTTATAACAATCATTTAGTTTTATGAAATCTTTGTTATTTATATTGAGGGAACTGATTAATATTTGTATAAAATTCAAGATTTCTGCGAGTTTGGAAGATATGTGAAAGAAAACTTTTGACCAACATGACCATCACAACTGAGGACACAGAATAACTCTTCTCTACATCAGTCTATACCTACAGGACTTACAAGAATGGCTTAATCACCACTGAACTCTATGATAAGTGTAGGATTTTGAACTTCTGATTGTGAATGTTCACTTTCTTGATATCAACACACTTCTTTTCCTACCTCTACTCATCATGTCACAGTTCTTTCAATATTCAAATACATGTATCGAATCCCACATTTTTCTGGTGGATGTGACTATAAATCCAGCTTACAATATAATTTTCAGATTGATGAAGGTTGATGTAGATCATGGGTAACAGCTTTATACTCATGAAATAATTATACTGGATAGTATATATTTACTTGTCAGATATACCGATCATCACCACTGATGAAATTTATCAGTGTGCCTTGTTCAGATTTGCTGTCATTACCCCAGTTTCCACTTTAAAGACAGGACATGACCAGGATTACAGGATTCATGTGGTGGGCGTTTACTATACAACTGAAGTCCTCCCTCTGGGTATATCCTGGTCTGATCATCCTTGTTCTGTATCTCTAAGTAAATATTTTCCTTGTGTGACATCAAGTGCTCAGGAAATACATAAATTACATCATCACAGGTAATTCTGTACTCTACATGTCTAACAGACATGGTCTGAAGTAGTACTGATATCTTATATCGTCTAGAAATATAAAATAATAAAACAGTATACCAATAAAGCAATAATACAGATCTGAGCAATCGAGATCACCACAGATCTGAGCAATCGAGATCACCACAGATCTGAGCAATCGAGATCACCACGGATCTGAGCAATCGAGATCACCACGGATCTGAGCAATCGAGATCACCACAGATCTGAGCAATCGAGATCACCACGGATCTGAGCAATCGAGATCACCACGGATCTGAGCAATCGAGATCACCACAGATCTGAGCAATCGAGATCACCACGGATCTGAGCAATCGAGATCACCACAGATCTGAGCAATCGAGATCACCACAGATCTGAGCAATCGAGATCACCACGGATCTGAGCAATCGAGATCACCACGGATCTGAGCAATCGAGATCACCACGGATCTGAGCAATCGAGATCACCACGGATCTGAGCAATCGAGATCACCACGGATCTGAGCAATCGAGATCACCACGGATCTGAGCAATCGAGATCACCACGGATCTGAGCAATCGAGATCACCACGGATCTGAGCAATCGAGATCACCACGGATCTGAGCAATCGAGATCACCACGGATCTGAGCAATCGAGATCACCACAGATCTGAGCAATCGAGATCACCACAGATCTGAGCAATCGAGATCACCACTTCAGTTCAACACCAATAGAAAACATCTTCCTATCTTTATCTGTAGTACAGTAAACTGTAATCCTTCAGCTCGATCTCAAAATCACTCTCACAAAATGACAAACTTTCGTATTGAAAGAATTTAAGTCCTACACATCTTTATCCATCTACGTACCTTTTAGACAAATCTTTAACCCACCTGGAATTCTGAATGGCTAATTAAGGTAAGTGTTGGGGTACATTTACC